TCCATTATACTCCTGCTATGAGTGAAACCATCCGGTATTTTTCTTTCTCTTTCTGGCTTATCTCACTAAGCATGATCTTTTCCAGCTCCATCCAAGTGCAGCATGATTTTTAACAAAATGAGAACGAAGCTGTAATTATGGCAAGAGCCTCTCCCAGTCCATGCCATGTTTTCCAAAGCTGGTAGGCCAAGAGGCCTCTGGAGCGGGCACTCCTTGGAAAGGCTGGGCTGGCCTTCCGGGAGGGAGGCCTTCTGTTAGCCTTTGCCCAAAGGGCGAGTAACATCATGTGCGGAGCTTCTGAGTTTTCCTTAACATTAAGTTTATCTTAAAATGAATATTGTTTTAGAACTTACCTCTCTGGAGCGTGGATTCAGAAGTCCCTGTGTCTGAAAATAAAAACCACCTCCCCGGAAGGGAGAGTGCAGCAGGTGGTAAGAAAGTCTAGAATGCGTCTTTACACCGGTATTTGTAAGTGCCTGGAGATTTATTTTGGTCCCATGAGTAGCCACTCATGCCCAAGGGGGTTTGCTTTTTACTATAACTGGTGTTATTTAACTATTAATTGTCACTTTTCCACATACATTCTTTCAGGCAAAGTTAACAAGGTAAGGATCCATGTTTGGTTTTAAATAATACAGAAAACAGTATTAAGATTATATGTATGTATGTTCTTTAAAAAGTGTTTCTTTCCTCAAAGTTAAACTTTAAATTTCATTCCTGTTCTTTAAACAAGTCAAAGCCTTTATTGCTTTCCAGGGGTGCCAGTTGGTTATTGAATTAATGTTCAATTAAGTTAATATAATGATATTGTGAGTGAAAATTAACATTGTACATAGTGAAAGTGTTCTCTAGAGCTTATGGAAAGGGAAGCTGCCTCCACCCTTAAGATATCATAAAGTTGTTGGAATGTTTAATATTTTGTTATTAGTGTGAAAATTAATCATTTACCATTCTTTTTGGATCAAAAGATAAAATGCCTCTTAGTAAAAGAAAGTTTTTCATGCTACTCAAGACTCATTAGTTCACGCTTGGTTGATGCTAATGATTAAAGTAATTTCTGCTGAAGCCAGCGAAAACAAACGACTTCTGTGTGGATTAAAGGGTGCTATACAGAGACTTGGCTGCCTATTTCTCGGTTAGAACAAGAAGAAGAATAGGGGAGCAGAGATATTTTGTGTTGAAAAGTTTCTTACTGCTTTGTAGAACCATCTGGAAATGCCCATAGAGCAACTGAAGCTAGCCCTTGATTTGTCAGAGTCTGCTCACAAAAAGACACAGGTGGGATTTACTCATTATATTCACATTGAAATGTTGTCTAGAAAGCCATGCAGGTACTAAATTGTCCACGGTTTTTCTCTTATCAGAATAGTAAACAAGGGTCATTTCAGTTATGGGGTTATCCTCTTAATGAAGACAGTGCCACAGAGAACAGGTGAGCGACTTCTTATTTTTGTGAACCCCACATGGCTGAAACGATGTCCACTGTAGATGCTGACTGCTCATCTGAAGTACTAGAACCCAGCACAACTAGAAGAAAAAAGCATTGTGTACAAATAGAGGGAGATTACAGAGACTTGCCCTTACCCAGGGGAGGTGACTGGCAGAGATAAGCAGAAGCAGGTGATTAGGAGCTCACTTCCCTTAAAAGAAGTGTTAGGGCCCCACCCTGGTGACTCAGTGGGTTAAAACGCAGCTATACAAGCTAGTGGCAGCTGCTTCAGCATGAGTTCAATCCCAAGCCAGGAAATGACCCACATGGTGAGGCAGACCTCTCCTAGCTCGCCGCTGCTCCCCTCAGCAGTGTATCAGTCAATCTGCCTGTTCTGCTCCCCATGCTGTCTCTGGTGAATCCTCTTACTACCCTTGCACCTCTGGCCTGTACCTCAATTCTGTATGCATAATTAAATAAATCTTAAAAAGAGAAGTGTTAAGGTGGATAGAGTTTGAACCCACATTTGAAAAGGAAAGGGACTGAAATAAGAAATTAATTTCCCATGTAATAGAAGAATTTCAATTCACTGACCCCTTATTGAACCCTCACAGCAATGCTTTAAGGTGGGTGCTGTCACCATCACCCTGTTTATTTTATTTTAATAGTATCATTTTGTGCCTTTTCCTATCTCAGTGTGATCCCCGTGGACTTCTCATCACCAGATCACCCATGTGCCATCACCATAGTCCTGTGCACTGCCCCCACCCCCATTTTTGATCCATTCCTCACCCCACCCCTGTAAAATGTCTCTGGTATATAGTTGTTCACTATTATTATTTTCTCCCCTGGTTCTTTATACTCCTGCTATGAGTGAAACCATTTGGCATTTTTCTTTTTCTTTCTACTTATGTCACTAAGCATGATCCCTTCCAGCTCCATCCAAGTTGCTGCAAAAGGCACGAGTTTATCTTTTTTGATCGCTGGGTAATATTCCATTGTGTCTATGTACCACGTCTTCTTAATCCAGTCATCTACTTTTGAGCATTTGGGTTGATTCAAGACTTTCCTATTGTAAATAAAGCAGCAATAAACATGGGGGTGCAGGTGTCTTTTTGACTCAGTGTTTTTTGGGTAGATACCTAGGAGTGGGTTTGCTGGGTCGTAGGAAAGCTTCATGTTTAGCAGTTTGAGGAACCTCCAGTTTTCCATAGTGGTTGTACTAGTTTGCATTCCCACCAGCAGTGCAGGAGAGTTCCTTTTTCTCCACATCCTCGCCAACATTTGTTGTTGCTAGTTGCTTTAAGATGTGCCATTCTCACTAGACCATCACCCTGTTTTATAGATGAGAACACTGAGGCAGAGTGACAGGCAGCTTGCCCAGGCCACGCCATCAATGATTGGTAGAACCAGTTTGTAAAAGTAACTTGGGTTTTGCTAATCATGGCTATGTATTATCATTTCTCAGAACTTACCTGGGTTTGAATGTATATTTACGTACATATATATATATATGTTTTTTTCTTAGATATTCTTGTGTATTAAAACCAGCTAGAATGTTCCTTAAAAATACAGGTTACGGGGCCCTCCCTAGTGGCGCAGCGGGTTAAAGCACAGCACTGAGAAGCTTAAGCCACTTCCGCATGAGTTCGATCCCCGCCTGCCCCGGAAGTGACCCCATGGC